GGCGCAGTGCCTCACGCCTATAATCCTAGCAGTTTGGGAGGCTGAGGCGGGCGGATCACGAGGTCAAGAGATCGAGACCATCATGGCCAACACGTCTCTACTAAAAACATAAATATTAGGCGGGCGTGGTGACACACGCCTGTAGTCCCAGCTACTCGGAGGGCAGAGGCAGGAGAATTGCTTGAACCCGGGAGGCGGAGGTTTCGGTGAGCCAAGATCATGCTGTTGCACTCCAGCCTGGTGACAGAGTGAGACTCCATCTCAAAAAAAAAAAAATTATATGACTTGAACCCTGAATCTGTAGGTGACCAGACCCCAGTAGCAATGAGGCTTCCCTGCCTACTTCTGAACCACCTGTCCTGGCCTTTAAGTCCCGGAAGGGAAGGCAGTGACTTCAGCATGATGGCACCAAAGCCCTCGACAGCCCAGGAGGCCACAGGAGCCAACCTGGCTGATGGGGTCCTGTGATTCAGTCACTGGACTCTGCTGTGAAGAGGAGCGGTCTCAGCCCCATTAGCCATTTATTCAGGCATTTATTCGAGGACCCTTATTCTACCAAGTATAAAACTTTTTTTTTTTTTTTTTTGAGACGGGAGTCTTTGCTCTGTCACCAGGCTGGAGTGCAGTGGCGCAATCTTGGCTCACTGCAACCTCCGCCTCCTGGGTTCAAGCGATTCTTCCGCCTCAGCTTCCCGAATAGCTGGGACCACGGCCGCATGCCACCATGCCCTGCTAATTTTTTTCTATTTTTATACAGACGGGGTTTCGCCATGTTGGCCAGGATGGTCTCCATCTCTTGACCTCGTGATCCGCCTGCCTTGGCCTCCCAAAGTGCTGGGATTACAGGCGTGAGCCACCACGCCAGGCCAAGTATAAACCATTTCTAAACGTTCATTTTATTGCTCAAGTTGTTCTAAGCTTGACCATCGTGAGCCCCTTCCACATGGGCTCCTGTGTCCATCTCATATGTCCCAGGTCATTTTTTTGTTGTTATTGAGGTGAAATTCACGTAGCATAAAGTTAAACATTTTGAAGCGTATAATTGAGTGTTTTATTACATTCACAATGGTAAGCACCCACCGCCTCTATCTAGTTCACGAACATTCCATCACCCAAATGGAGGCCTCATCCCCGTCAGCTGTCACCCCCAGCCCCTCCCCACCCCTGACCCCCACACATTCGATTCCTGTCTCTGTGCATCAGCCTGCCTTAGACATGTCGTAGAAATGGGATCACACAGTGTGTGGCCTGTCGTGTCTGGAGTCTCGCTGAGCGTGACGCCCTCAAGGTGCATGCAGGGTGCTAGCCTGTGTCCAAGTGGCCCTCCTGTTCACGCCGAAGGCTAATCCACAGAGTAGTGGGCCATGCTGGGGTTATCCCTTGTTCCATCTGGAGACACTGGCTGTTTCCACCCTTCAGCTCTTGTAATGTGCTGTCACGTGTGTGTGCAAGTATTTGCTTTCCTGCTTTTTACACCTTTGTGTGCATACCCAGGGGTGAATCACCAGGTCCTATGGTAATTCTGTACTGAGCTTTGCTTTTTTTTTTTTTTCTTTGAGATGGAGTCTCACTCTGCCACCCAGGCTGGAGTGCAGTGGTGTAATCCCAGCTCACTGTAACCTCCACCTCCCAGGTTCAAGTGATTCTCCTGCCTCAGCCTCCTGAGTAGCTGGGATTACAGGCGTGTGTGTACCACCAAAGGTTCCAATTTCTCCACCTCCTCCCCAACACTTATTTTCCTTTGTCCACCCCTGCACCATACTTTTGGAAACAAGATTCCCAGTTCACTTTAGGGTGGAGGCACTTACCCTGCCTCAGCACTGGAATTAGCTTTTTTTTTTTTTTTTTTTGAGATGGATTTTTGCTCTTGTTTCCCAGGCTAGAGTGCAATGGTGCAATCTCGGCTCACCGCAACCTCACCCACTGCACTGCAGCCTGGGTGACACAGTGAGACTCTGTCTCAAAAAATAAATAATAATAATAACGTGCCTGTCCTATTCCCTGGAACCTGCAGCTAAAGGGAGTGTGAAAATGGGATGAGCTCTTCAGGCAGCAGAAAACCCCAGATTGTTTAGGTAGACCCAGTGTCAACAAAGGGGTCCTTAGAAGCAGGGAGCTTCTCCAGCTGGAGGCATGGGGACACAGCAGCTAGACTCAGTCCTTGAACACGTGTCCCAGGCCGGCCAAGTCCTACCCCTGGGAGCGATGCTGTCAGGGACTGAAAGGGGGCGGCCCACCGGCTTCCATTTCAGGATCCCTCTGG